GGACGAGCTGCCCGCTCTCAAAGGCTCTGCCCGTCCTTCCCCGCCGACGTCTGCCTGGGCTCTGGCCACGGCCACGGGCTGGGGACACTTATCAAGTGTGACGCTGTCCCCAAATGCTGTGATGTCACAGGGCCGCTGTCTGTGACAGGAGACGTGGCTGTGAATGTCGTCACAAAGGACTGGCACTGCGGGAATGGCTGCCGGGCTCTTGGCCAACATGGAGCCATGCAACTTTGTTGCAGGGTGTCTCCGTTTAAGATAAATGTTTTCAGAGGAAAATGTTACAGAGTAACTGTTTCCTCTGAAGTGAAAAAATTTGGTAATTTTTCCCCACCAATATGAAATAGATGCCGGGCAAAAGTGACGAGAAAAAAAGGTAGTTTATTAACAAAACACAGTGCCCACCGGACACAGATAAAAAGTAACCGTTAGATATTTAAAAAGTCCAGGAACGCCTCCTCCGGCTCCCCAYGTGCTGCGGACAAAATGGCAAYTCCCATCCCCYGGAAAAGAAACAGAAAGAAAAACCCACATGGCCGTTCCCGTAACAGTGGCAAAAAGAAAACCCAAAAACCTGTATTACAGTCCTTTCTTCACTGTGGATGGATCAGAGGGCTCGGTGTGTTTCTGTTGCCGGCTTGACTTCTTCCAGAATCCCAGACGAGGTGGAGCCACGCAGCTTCTCCCYGCCGGTCACGGAATTGRTCCAGAAAGCAGAATCACAGGASCCATGGAGGGGGTCTGTTCAGGGAAAGCTGCCGAAGCTAACAAACCCGAGCTTGCTAAAAACTGCAGCAATGTAACTCCGCTGCACGCAGCGAGCAAGGACCTCCCCGGCGCCGAGCTGGGCTGCAAAAGCAAAAGCCAAACTCCAAAAAGCCCAGGCTGCATGGCAACACCGGCTTTTAAATTCCCCTCTCCGCCTTCCCAGCAGCTCCCGCTCCTTCTTCCGAGTCAGGATTAACGGCACAGGCACCTTTTGGGCACTACAAGCCAATGGAATAGGAATACAGAACAGAATTGCCACAAAATCAACCCAAGACACAGGGCCGGAGCACAGGCTGAACTCTGCCACTTTAGGGCCAAAGCTCCAGGCTTCATCGACTTGGCAAGATGAACTTCGGTGCCCAGGCTGGGCTCCAAACTCATTTGCAGGGCCATACAATGCATGACGAGGCGGAGATACCCGTGCAAGGGGCAATATGGAGTAGGCGCTTCGGGAAGGCTGCACCTTCCCGGCACATCAGCACTGGGCAAAGGAGGAGGGCAACGTGCGCTCAGGAGTTCAGGGGAACAGGAGGCTGCCTCCTCCAAAACCTTGACAGACACCACACCCGTGGCCCATGGGCCAGCGCAGCCTCTCTGTGCACTCCAACACAGGCCACCCTTGCGGGACTCCTCTGTCTCCTCTGTGGACAGCGGCCTTTCACAGCGCCGTGTTCAGCACAGACCAAGAGAGTTGCACTGGGAGCGTCCTTGGGGTCCCTTCCAACTGGGCACRTTCTGTGTTTCCGCCATTGCACGCCCTCTTGTCCTGGCTCTCGTTCCCTGCCAGCAGAGCCCGGTGCCCACCTGGCTGCACCCTCCTGTCACCGACTTGCCCAGCGGGACAAGGTTCCCTCCCACAAAGCCTCCTCTTCTCCACCATCAGCTCCCCAGGCTCTCTCAGGCCCTGCTCACAGGACACGCGCTCCACACCCTTCTCCATCTCCCTTCCTTCCCTGGACCCGCTCCAGCCCCTCAATGTCCATTTGCAATTGAGGCAAGTGCCCACAACTGGACACGGCGCTCCAGCCACGGCCTCAGCAGTGCCCAGCTCAGGGCCACGAGCACTGCCCCGCTCCTGCCGGCCACGCCATTGCTGCCATTGGCCTTCATACCCACCTGGGCACTCCTGCCTCAGCTTCAGCCGCTGTCCACAAGCAGCACCAAGCCCTTTCCTGCTGGCAGCCTTTCCACACACTCTGCCCAAGCCTGCAGCTGCAGGGGCTTCTTGTGGCCAAAGGGCAGCACCCGGCACTTTGGTTTCTGCAACCTGCGGCCGCTGCTCTGGGCCCAAGCAGCCGCGGCCGGGGCCCTCCGCACAGCCTTCCCACCCTGCGGCACCCCACRCTCCCACCCCGCTTGGCGCCGCCCTCGCCCATTGTATCGGTTTTGAGACAATGTTTTTCAGAGAAAAAACGTTACAGGGAAACATTTCCTCTGAAATGAAAATAAATTTGATAATTTTTTTCCCCACCAACAAGAAATAGATGCTGGGCAAAAAAGGTGAAAAAAAAAGGTAGTTTTATTAACAAAAACACAGTGCCCACAGGACACAGATAAAGAGTAACCGTTAGATCACAAGGACACAGATAAAAAGTAACCGTCAGATATTCAAACAAAAAAACTCGCCACGCGGCAAGGCAGCGACTCCACCCCGGGAAAAAGAAACAAAAGGAAAACCCACGTGGCTGTTCTTGTAACAGTGGCAAAAAGAAAACAACCGAGAGGGAACAAAAAGCCGTACCACAGTCCCCGCTTCCCCATGGATGGATCAGAGGGCTCGGCGTGCCTCCGCTGCCAGCCCGGTCTGCCCCCAGAATCCGGGACGGGATGGAGCCACGCGGCCCCTTCCTCAGCGGGACCGCCCCAGGAGCAGAACCGCAGGAGATGTAGAGGGGATGTCCGAGGAAAAGCCGCCGAAGCTGACAAACTGAGCTAGCCGAAACTGCGACACTGTAACTCTGCTCCCATGGTAAGAAACAGAGAGAGAGAGAGAGCTGAGCTCGAGCAGCCCGGATCGCATGGCAGCGCTGGCTGTTAAACTGTCCGCTCCGCCTTCCCAGCAGCTCCTGCTCCTTCTTCCGGGTTACATTTAAAGATACAACATTTTTTTTTGGCGTATATGCCAACGGAAAAGGAATACAGAACAAAACTGGCACCAAAAAATCAACCCAAGACACCTATTTGACACTGGAACACTGCAGCCCCTCCTGGCATCATCCACACAYGCATTCAGCAGGCCTGGGCCCCGCTGCGCTCATCCCCGGGGCACGGCGCCAGCGCCCGCACAGCAGCTGGCTGCAGCACCGGGGCCCGGCGCTGCCTGGGCCRCCCAGGAGCCTCTTGAGAAGGCGGCCCAGAGAGAGCCTGCGTGAGCCGTGGCCTGGCACGGGGGCCTTGTGCCAGGGCCTTGCCTCTGAAYGCTCTCAAGCCCTGSTGCAAAACCATCCATGGCGGTGCCCCGCAAACGCATAGGGGACAGGAAGTAAAGACATCCAAGTATAGAAAAGGTGGACTTTATTGAACTGCATTAGGCCTGTGCCTAAATATGTAAACTGGAACTCTGGAAA